CACATGCAAACACTCTCTCTCCTTTTTCCTCGTCCCACTCCTTCTCAGCACAGTAATGATAAACGTAATCACATACAAACAGAAGGGATCTTTTTCTCATTTGCACTTTGTTTCCTCCAAAGAGTCATTTGTGCTGAGGGTGCTGTAAAAGTAGGCTAAGTAGTGTGTCCAAGGTATGAGGGAGCATTATCTCCCTATTCTCTCCTCCATCAGGCTCAACCAGCCCAGCGGGGGACACTCATTTACTTTATGGAATATTACTTTCTCTCCTTCTCGCCGTTACCATGGCAGCTGCTATAAAAAGATTTTCTCCTCATCGCTATTATTTGATTTCCTCCCGCACAAGCTGAGGAAGATCCCTTATTGATTTTCATTTCTCATATGTTTGAGTGCAAAGACAGAAATTAACATACCATGAAGTACTTAATGTAACGCAAAAGGGCCTCGATCAAGATACATTTGTACCACAGGAAAACTATTTTGTATAGCTTAACCCTTGGGATTTGCAATAACACCATATCTGGTTAACAGCGCTGACTGATGTGCTTTGGGTCATGACTCCTGAAGACCCATCACATGCTGAACATGAGAGTTTTTGATCTTTTTTTAATTCCATCAACTCCAAGTCACTCCCCATCCACCTATTGTGTTTGATGCTGAGAAGAATTGTTCAATACCGTTTAAATTGTTTGTCTTGCAGGGTCATCAAGGAGCATCTTGGAGAACAGGAAGTGGCCATTTCACTAACTATTGACTCTTTAGAGGAGGAAGACCTGGGAAATTATTCGTGTTATGTGGAAAATGGCAACGGCCGTCGCCAAGCTACCATCCAGCTTTTCAGGCGGGGTAAGTGCTTTTTTACATTTCCTACTCCAAAATAAAAGGGACAGTTCAACCTCACCCCCCAAAATAAAAAAAATAAAAATACAGATTTTTCCTCTGGCATGTAGTGTTGTTCATCCATGTACATCATTATGGTATGAGTTTCCCAAACTTCCACATATTGGCTGTAAAGATGTCTGCCTTCTCTTTAGTGTAATTGAAGTAAATAGGACTCGCCTTGTGGTCCAAAGAAGGAACACATTTCAAAGCAATATAGCTTTTCAGAAATGATGACTACAAATGTTGCTATGATCAGGTTATTGTTAAACTATGTTTTTATTTACTTCAGAATGAAAAGAAGCATGTGTAGCTCAAAGCATCTGCTTTTATGTCTCCGGACAGGGTTCTTTGCTAATTTAGGGGGTTGCTGCAAGGAAAGGAACACACTTCAAATCCTTTATGAACAGCTATAGCTACAAGCAGACAGCAGGAGCAAGAATGCATTAAATAAAGATAATACCAGAATCAGAATTGATGAACAAATGGGTAATGATCAATGGGAGCATGTGGATTTAATTCTCCAGCTCTTGGAAAATGATGAACCAGATGAAAGTTAATAGAATATCTGAATGATTAAACTAATTTTAATTCACAATAATCCAGATTAATTGAGACTACCAACAATATTAACTCTGAGGCAGTTGAACTTAGGCTTGATTTCCTAATGATTGTAGTTATAGGCTGGGTTTGTTCAGTTCACAAGCGGGACTTTTCAGGTCATCCAACAGCCTAATGATGGAGTAGATTCAGAAGGGTGCAGCCGTAAAATCTTGAGCATGTGATGCAAACAGACCTCAGCAGCTGATGTTGGCCCTCAGTCTTTTAGAGCTGATGTCAACTGGATTCTGAAATAGTAAGTTTTATGGCTTTAACATTAATTTTAGAATAAGGAACGGCTTTCCATATCCAATTAGCAAAATAAAAATTACACCTGACTGCAAAAAAACTACTTGGTGAGCTAAATGAAACCGAATATTCTAAAAGATGTAAACAGAGTTGAATATGGTGTGAGTCAGTCTTTTTATCATGCTGGTCTCATTGAGACTCTAAGGTGTGGCCAAGATTATTTGCACCACTATGAACAACCAATGAATTGTTGTTTAAATAATAAATTTTGTTCAACTTTTATTTGGAGAGACCCAACCACGAAGAACAATCTTCCTTCCAAACACATAAATAAAGGCAATAGAGATGTATATGAAGAGAAAATGGGATTAAAACAGGAAGTGTATTTCGAAGGTTTATAGACAGCATCATCAGAGTGTATTATATGGATGACTAATCGTCATAACATCACTTCCAACATTTACAATAAGAAGTGAAATACTGGTTTAATTATTAAATTTTATATCCCTCAATTAACTCAATTTTAAGTCAGGAGTTTCAGGCATTGTGATAATTAAAGTTTAACAAGCCTGAATGGATTATATAATATTAACGTCTAACAGGTTTCACAATGAACAAGTAATCACATTCAGTGAATAAGTCTATTAACACTTCATTTGAAAAGTTGTCTACTCCAGGTGTGCACTCATATTTGTGATACATGTGAAACATGAACAGAATATTAAGATATTGGTATTCACTGTCTCTTCCTACTTAAAACTATGAGTCCTATAGAAGTTTTACTAATTCTTTTCAGATCTTGCAGTTATAGAAATGTTTCCTCTTGCTGAGCTGGGGTGTTTGCACAGTCTTCTCTAACATTACGCAAATACTAACATACCAGCCGTTTAACTAACAGATTGAAATCCAATTAGTTGGTTAAATAGCTGTGTGATGGGAGAGAAGCAAGTGCATTTTATTTCTATAGCACATTTAAAACTAAAGTACTTTACATGAAAATAAAATAGAATAAACAGGTTCCTATCAGCAACCAATCCAACAAAGTTCTAGAAATTAGCATTTTTCAAGTTTAGATTGAAAAACAGTTACAGTTGATGCTTGTCCAGGGTCACTTTGGAACTACGGTTCAACTGTGGGATAATCGGGAGTGAGAATCAGGCCATAATGATCTCGAGTACATGGACGCAATATATCTCCCACATATGCAGGTGCAAGACCATTTAAAGCTTCAAACACAAACAGTGCAGCTTTGTACTAGATTATGCGATGCACAGGGAGCTTAGTGCAAGGCTGTTAACACTGGACTAATTGTAAGTGGGCAAGAGATGAGTAACTCCACTATGCATTCCAGTAGTCTACTTTAGACATAACAAAGCCCTTTCTGGATCTTGTTTGGGGATTTTGTTATGTTTTTAGTCTGGAGATTGTTCTGAGCTGGAAGAAACTGCTCTTGACCATTGCATTTATTTGTCTGTCAAATTTCAAATTTGTGTCAAACATTGTTCCAAAGTTCTTAACCTGTGTTTGTCCAGTTTGTCATTTGTATGGTAGGGAGTTGGGAGGACAGTAAAAGGCATATGGTGGCATGCTGGCCTGTTAGATGGGTTTATTTCTTACTTTTTTAAATTTAATTTCCCAACGTCACAGCTGAACATGATGCACCTGAGTGCCTCTTTTAGGTTTCTCGTTGTTTATATCAGTTTGAGCATTAGATCAGTGCCTTGTAGTTTTATTATAGTCAAGAATATGCAGATATTTCTACACTTAACCCAAAACTGGATATTAAAATAATCTCGATTGATTAAAATCCCTGTAGGCTGAAGGAAAATGTGTGTTAGATTTGGGGGGAAATCATCCTTTTTCTTTTTTCTTTATATTTAGTTGCTTTACATTATTATTTTTTCTGTTTGCCTGACAGTAAAGCCTCGTGACATATGAAATAATCGAAGCCTGGCTACATCATTTCATCAAACAGAAATATTCTAATTGATTTGTATGTTTGGGTTTTTTTTTTTTCATTTTTCCCATCGGCTGTGTAGCTATTTTGGTGCTCTAGTATGACTTGTCAGAAGCTCTTTTCACGCACTGGTTGTCATCCTGAAAGAGAGGTAATTTGATGGTTGTTTAAACAGCAAATTGGTCCTCAGCTTCTCCCAACAGGCCAATAAGTCCAGCATACAATTACATTTTATGCCTTTATATGTCTGTTTCCCCACTTTAATCTCTGTCTCTGCAATCATCTTTTGTAGACAGCCATTTTAGCAGTTTTCACAGACTGCAGACAACTTCATTTAGGTCTCTTTGTAAAAGCAGTTGCAAGAAAAAAGGATGCCACAAAAAGACTTCAAGGCAACACCCCCCTCCTTCTCTCTCTCTCTCTCTCTCTCTCTCTCTCTCTCTTGCTTCTCATCCACATCTGATGTTTATTTCATGTTCTCTGCTCCAAGAATGCATCACTCACAAGCCCTGCAGCAGGTCTAATATCTCTGCAGGCTCCCTTTCCTTCCATCTCAAAAGAGAGACATGAAAACAGAGAAGGCAGAAAGGAAGTGGGGGTCAGTGAAACATAAACAACTTCAAGAGTGAAGATTATTGCTGATAATGAGTTAAAAGCATTACATTTGGTTACAGTTGGAAAGGGCCGGTAAATAGCCAATTAGAAGCCCGAGAAAACATAGCTGTTTTCCTGCAACACACTGTTGACTGCTGCTGAAATGAGAAAAAAAAAACATCAAATATAATGCACAAGCCAACATCAAAGATCTGTCTTTACAAGTTAAAGAGCTGTTTTGAGACTTGCCATATACACTTAATTCCCATGCCTCTAAGGTATTACAAAGCTTAGCACAAAGACTGGAAACAGTGAGTTGAAATTTGTTGAAAATTAGCCAAATCATATCCACCCACATAGCTTCTTTTATAACTCTTACATTTTGTTTCTTGTATTTATTAGAGAACAAGACATGACTGGTAAATGAATGTTTAGATGTGCTTGAGGGCAGATTTTGTTACTCTCAGAAAGCAGCTTTTCCTGTTTTTAGCTGTTTGGCTAAGCTAAGCTAACTGGCTGCTTTTACTCTCACCAACACAGATTTCATTAGTTATCATTTTGTAATTTCTCATAACCTACTATGTCTTCGGTTAAACCTATTTTAGAATAATAATCATTAGATCCAGAAAGTGTAGCTAAAGTTAAGTGACTTTTAATAAAAGATTTTATAAATTCACAGTATTTCTGTTATGACTTTAATATGTACCTTTGCTGTGTCTGGGGTTATATAGAGAGTAAATTGGCATGCAGCCTAGAGAACGTAGGGCCACTGTGCAGCATTACAGCCCACAGTGTGACAGAGAAATAAAGTGAACCTGCTCTAGCTGAGCCTACCAGGTAAATGCGGCTTTAATACACACCATAATTCATCCTTCCCCAAGCTAGGTCTCTGGGGAGATGAGAAGGAGATAATGGAGAGGAGAAATGAATGGAGAGACAGCAAGAAAAGTGGGCAAGGAGAAGTAAGAGAACTCTGAAGAGAGTGGGTTATGATGGCGAGGTGAGTGACAGCGTGATGAGTAAACTAAAGCCTCTTGTTTTGAAAAAGCCTCCATCCATGTCCAGAATTGTCCCAGTCCCACTATGGATGACAGCCAAAGTGCAAAGCTGTGTCATTGCTGTACGGCTCCAAAGAAATGAACCCAGTTTCTCATTATCTCCTTTTTTTTCCTGTGTCTCTCTGCTATGTGCCCTCTCATTTTTCCCAAACTCATTATGAGACTCGTGTCTCTGAAGATAGATTCTGCTCCACTCTGTGCCGAGCGCTGAAAATGCTGATGATCGTCCAGATTTCAGGCAAATGTAAACGTGTAAAAGTGCCTCATTCTGTGAGTTTACCTGAAATGATGAAACAAAGAGGCCAGTGTTTGAGGCCAGCCTGATGAATACTGTCATAAGAGTGTGGGTAAAAAGAAAGCAAACACTTTTTTTTCTAAAGTTTGACACATCAGGACATAATAAAAATAATCTAGTCCTTAAAAATCTGGCCTTTAAAGCAACACAAACTCAGATGAGCAACAACACATGACGTAGTACACTGTGTCATTATTTATTTAAGAAATAAATTAGCCAAGTTGCAGAATCGGTGTGTGAAAAACTGAGTACACCCTACTGCTTCCATAACAATTAAGAGGGTAAGAGGTGCTGCTAATCAAATGCAGCTAATTAACTGATAATAAGCAGATCTGAGCACCTCTATAAAAGCATATGTTTTTGCCTATTTGCAGGTATGGAGCATTTAGGTGTGTTTTAACACACTGACAAGGAGAAATTTTTCAGCAATGATCTTAGAGAAGCAATTGGGAAGAATTAGTAAGTTATTTACAAATACTACAGAAAGAGTATTGGAAAACTGGGACGACAGTTCCCATTCCTTCTTAGGAGTGAATATACCAGCAAATTTAAGTTCAGAATGTGTAATGTGCAAATAAACACCCAAAAGTGACGGTTCGGGCTCTACAGGCCAAGTTCAATACAATACAATTAGTGATAGACTGAATATCTATGGCTAGTTTAAAAAAAAAATACCAGGATAATAATAATCTGGTAGCATGGTTGAGATTTGCAAATTTGCATTTGAATGAACCACAAGACTTCTAGAGCAATGTCCTTTGGAGTGGTGATGTTTGGCCATAATGTAATGTAGCTTAATTAAAAACAGAGCATATAGCAAAAACTTCATACCAACTTTCAGCCACGGTGGTGGAGGAGTGATGATTTGAGTTTCCTTTGCATGCACAGGACCTGGACACCATGCAGTCTTTGACTTGCCTATGAACTCCTCTGTATACAGTGGCTTGCAAAAGTCGGCCCCCTTGAACTTTCCCACATTTTGTCACATTACAGCCACAAACATGAATCAATTTTATTGGAATTCCACGTGAAAGACCAATACAAAGTGGTGCACACGTGAGAAGTGGAACGAAAATCACACATGATTCCAAACATTTTTGACAAATAAATAACTGAAAAGTGGGGTGTGCGTAATTATTCAGCCCCCTTTGGTCTGAGTGCAGTCAGTTGCCCATAAACATTGCCTGATGAGTGCTAATGACTAAATAGAGTACACCTGTGTGTAATCTAATGTCAGTACAAATACAGCTGCTCTGGGACGGCCTCAGAGGTTGTCTAAGAGAATATTGAGAGCAACAACACCATGAAGTCCAAAGAACACACCAGACAGGTCAGGGATAAAGTTATTGAAAAATTTAAAGCAGGCTTAGGCTACAAAAAGATTTCCCAAGCCTTGAACATCCCACGGAGCACTGTTCAAGCGATTATTCAGAAATGGAACGAGTATGGCACAACTGTAAACCTACCAAGACAAGGCCGTCCACCTAAACTCACAGGCCGAACAAGGAGAGCGCTGATCAGAAATGCAGCCAAGAGGCCCATGGTGACTCTGGACGAGCTGCAGAG